AATTGGTTATCCATTACTAATGGTGAATAAAATGTTTTAAATTAGGTTCTTATTGTATACTATACATATACAAGTGGATTAAAAAGCTACTGTTGGCTGGGCATGGTGGCTCATGCCTGTAATCCTAGCAATTTGTGAGGCTGAGGTGGGCAGATTGCCTGAGCTCAGGAGTTTGAGGCCAGCCTGGCCCACATGGTGAAACCCCATCTCTAATAAAAATACAAAGCCAGGTGTAGTGGCGCTTGCCTGTAATCCCAGCTACTTGGAAGGCTGAGGCAGGAGCATTGCTTGAACTGGGAGGCAAAGGTTGCAGTGAGCTGAGATGGCGCCACTACACTCCAACCTGGGTGACAGAGCCAGACTCCATCTCAAACAAACAAACAAACAAAAAACCATAATGTCACAAGCAGAAATTTAAACACTTTTAAAAGAAAATATAGGGAATCTTATGACCACCAGTTAGGGAAAGAGTTTTTTTTTTTTTTTTTTTTTCCAGACGGAGTTTCGCTCTTGTTACCCAGGCTGGAGTGCAATGGCGCGATCTCGGCTCAACACAACCTCCGCCTCCTGGGTTCAGGCAATTCTCCTGCCTCAGCCTCCTGAGTAGCTGGGATTACAGGCATGCGCCACCACGCCCAGCTAATTTTTTGTATTTTTAGTAGAGATGGGGTTTCACCATGTTGACCAGAATGGTCTCGATCTCTTGACCTCGTGATCCACCCGCCTCAGCCTCCCAAATTGCTGGGATTACAGGTGTGAGCCATCACGCCCGGTCCTTAATTTTTGTATTTTTATTAGAGATGGGGTTTCACCATGTTGGTCGGGCTGGTTTTGAACTCCTAACCTCAGGAGATTCACCTGCCTTGGCCTCCCAAGACTGAGATAACAGGCATGAGCCACCGTGCCCAGCTGGGAAAGAGTTCTTAACTGAGACATAAGAAGCATAAACAATTGAGGAAAAGACTAATACATTTGATTACACACAAAAACAAAACAAGCAAACAAATCCTATCTTCACAGCGAAAAGGCAAACCATAGACTGAGATAAGTATGTAACACAAAACAGTGAGTGTTTAGAATATATTTAAATACAAATTGATAAAAAGCAAGCAACCAACAGAAAAACTGACAAAGTATATGAAGAAGCATTTCATAGGAAAGGAAACCTGTCAGGCCCATCAACTTATGAAAAGATACTCAACCTCACTAGGAATCAGGAAATGCAAATTACAATGACACTTCACATCCATCTGAGTGGCAGACATGTTTAAAGTTTGACAATACCAAGTGTTGATGAGATTTGGAGTAACAGGAATTCTCCTACATTGTTAGGGAACCTGTAAATTGGAGAAACCATTTTGAACAGCAGTTTGATATTTTCATTCCTAAGAATACATCCTAAAGAATCTCTCACAAGAGACACGTAAAAGGTTGTTTGCTTCAGAATCATTTGTAATAGGAAAACCTGGAAATGACCAAAACTCTCCCAACAGGAGAAGAGAGAAATTACCAAGCATTCATCCAGTGGAATTCTATATGCAGTATTTAAAATAAAGGAACCAAACTGCACGTATCAACATGAATACATCTCAAACACAACATGTTAAGCAAAAAAACCAGGAAGGTGCAGAAGGATACATAAACTACCATCCATTTACATAAAGTTAAAATATGCTAAATTATATATTGTTTATGGGATTGTGTATAAATTAAAGGCATACAAACATTCGTGGCAATTATATATACTGATTTTGGAATAATGGATGCCTCTGAGGAGAAAAGAACGGAAATGGGGCTAGGCAGGAACATATTCTAGTAAGAAATTCAACTATATCTGTAACATGTTATTTCAAAAATAAAATCTAAACTAAATATGGCAGAATGGTGGGGACACTAACGTTTATTATTCTCTGCAATTTCCAGTATACCTAAAATGTCTTATTTAAAAAGTAAAAAAACATTAAACTTTAGAAAAGACTTTTTCTCAACGATTGACAAGATTCCCAACAAAACACTAATATTTCAATAAAATTTGGTCACAAAACTGTCCAAATTCTCATTGTGAAATATTTAAGTATATCTATAAAATAAATAAGTTATCTAGACAAAAATTATAAAATATAAATATACACACATGTGCCTAAAGACTAAAAAGGCACACATACAAAAAGAACATAAACTTTTAAGATGGAAGGATTTAGGGTGCAATTTCCTTAAACTTTTAAATTTTTTTTTTTTTTTTTTTTTTTTAAGGCTGGGTTTCACCATGTTGGTCAGTCTGGTCTTGAACTCCCAACCTCAGGTGATCCGCCCGCCTTGGCCTCCAAAGTCATTGGATTACAAGCGTGAGCCACTGTGCCTGGCCCAAACTTTTTAATTTTTAAATTCTGACTTAATGAATGGAAAAAGGGGGTTAAAATAAATATATACTTCCTAAAAAGTTTTTACTGTAGAAATAATATGGCAGCACAGATTTAAACAAACAGTGCTCTAGAAATGCACAGTAAAAATTAGTGAAGTCCACTCAGGTCTTCCTCTGAGTTCATCTCTTTCTGTTAAATGATCAGGTTGAACAAACAGGCACACAACAAAATGACTGGGGTCAAATCACTATCACCACCCAATTTTCAAGCGCAACAGCAGTCAAGAAGTCACCGGGGCGTGATACTCTACTATCCCTTTAATTAAGGCGGTGCTTTTAAAACTCAGTTGTTCCATTCGTGTCTCAAATCAATCAGATGAAATTCACCTTTTATGTGGCCTGAATCCTGATAGCTCAGCACACTTGATAGGTAATTTAATCATGTCTGGTGTAGATGAACACAAACTCAAATTAGCTGCTGAAAGAGTTGGTCTTCTCAGAGATAGCTGTGCTTTTCCACTTTTATGCAAGAGCTGAGCTTCACCAACTGGCTAGCTGGAGGTGTTATTAAAAATTTAGTGAAAGAAACAAAGGTGTGCTCTGGTGTCTCTTGTTACCCTTTCTACTGTTACTCCAGCAGACAAAAGGCATAGAGCCTGCCTCATGAATAATGTGACATGGAATATTCACAATCTATTTTTAATGGAGTCAAGTAATAACATTAAGAGAGATATTTGCAATCTTCAAATTTCACACGGTAACAGGCACAGTAATTTGTTTTGATTCTTAACTGGGGATATTAAGATACATTTTTTTACCCCCCCCCCCGAAAAAAAAGGCATACAGTTAACATCAAAATTACAATTCCTCACTTATAGCATAAACAGGGATAATGAAAATGGACCAAATGTTCTATTACAAGGGAAGAGCAGGATAGTACAGACACCTAGATTTCAATCAGTTTTACTTACCACTCAGTGCAACTTCTTTACTTTTCAAACCAGGGTTGGAAATAACCAACAAGTATGCAGCGTGACTTCTGTGGGAAGGATGTTTTTGTCATCTTTACTCACTGGGAGGTTTGTCTTCCAGGACACTAGGAAGTGGTTCCTGGATGCTGCAACTGTTCATCATCCATCAGTTCTGAAAAACTATCTTAAACTCCATTACAGAGTAAACAAATTTAAATTCTGAATGAGAGTAAACTAACATGGAGAGACATGGTGCTGGAAATCAGGTGAGAACAGCCAAGAACTGAGATTTGGAGACACCAGAGAAAAGCAACATTCAAGCCCCGCTTTCCCACCAACTCGGAGAGAAAGTCCTGTGGATTCTACTTGTTTTCCAGGCTTTCAAGCAATCTCACTTCCCTTTGTGCTTTAGAGAGCAGAGCCAGCCCACAGGATGAAGCAGGAGCTTATATTCTGTTTATTCACTTACCAGTGAATATCTCAGTAAATATTTATTGATCTCCTACTGTGTGCCAGGCACTATTCTGGGAACTGAAGATTCAACAATGAGTAAATAAATCTTCATATGACATTGTCCTCACTGCTGTATCTCTACCCCCTAGAAGAGTGCCCAGCACATAGTCGATGCTCAATCATATAGGTGAAATCGATTTGAGTTGGAAATGGGCAATCTTTTGGTACTCAATACGAGCCATGCATACCGTGAGTATCTGGCTGGGTGTTAAAGCACTAGTAGTAGGGATTTAGGGCAGGACCTTATTCTGGTTTCATTCTCTTAAAGGACTGACTGATATAAAAAGCTCCCACAGGTGGGACAGACTAGAAATAACCCAGATCCTCATGCACCTTTAGATTTGTTACTTGCATTAGGGGAGGCAGCTATCTCATACTTTTTCTCCTTTCCAGTTTCCACAGAATCAAAGCAGTCAGAGTTGGACTGGAATGACAGAGCTGTCTCCACATTACTTGGTCAAGGAAACCAGTATCGGGGAAGTCAAAAGATTTACCCAAGTCACATGATGTGGTGACAGAGCTGTGACAAAAACTAAAACCTCTAGATCTAAGACTTATGATTTCTATATTCATCTGGGAGTCTTCAGGCCCATAAAAAATTACATTGAAATTTTTAGAGGAAAGAGCTTACTTATGTGCCTATGGAACCATCAGGGGCTCTACAAGACAGGAGCTTAGTTTTGTACACCTCCTAGTTTTCGTCTTACTAAAGAAGAATCTCTGAGGTGTAGAAGCAAAGGAGAAAGTATATGAAAACCAAAGCAATTGGATTTTACTGTCTTCTGGATGTTAGCTCATCTGCTTCTCCTTTATACTCTATTGCAGTTTCCTTCCGTGCCAGCTTCCCCCCACCCCAGACTAAAACAAAGGTCTCCCCCAAATTCCTTTCCTAATGGAAAGGCAATCTATAATAGTCTTAATAGTTTATTAACTTAAAACATCACTCTAATAAATATGTATTAACAAACATAATGCATACCAGAAGATCTAAAAACATTTACCAATCAAACTGAAAATGCCACTTTTTACCCTCTCTATGATACACATAGAGGGTCAAAGAGTTGAAGACAGAGCCTTCACTCCCACATGCCTGCTAGCTCAGACATCTTTAAAATATCAGCTTAACAATAAAAAACTGAATATACACACATATCTTTGAAGTAACTGTTCAGCTGCTTTTTGTTTACACCTGATAAAATCCAAAAGGGTCAAAAGGGAAGATTTACAATTCTGTGTTGTCTTCTCAGAATTCTCTCCAAGGGTAAGAACAGACTCAGCCACTCAGAGGTGCAACCGTTAGCTTTTGAGGAGCAGAGTCAGGAGCTGTGACTTCAGTCTCTCTTCCCCAGTACCTAGCGTGGTGCCTGGTACCTTGACAGCTGGTGATCCATGAACATGTGCTGAGTCAATGAAAGACATCTTGGCCACAGGCATTGCTTGTGCTTTTACCTCCACTGATAAAGCCTTCACAGGCCTCCTGAAGGGAGGACTTCTAATCCCCTCTCATCACCAACTTCTCTTCTGCTCCTTCTTGGGGTAGCCTTGATGGTGCATCTCGTGACTTCAAAAGTATTAAACTTCCCAAAATCAGTTTCTGAATCAGTCTTTGAGGAAGAGAAATGATTCCTCCAAGATTTATAGGCAGCACCCAAAAGAAGGGGTCAGCAGACTCCCCAGAAGAAAAAAAAATAAAATTTAACACTCATTCTCCTTTCTAGATAAAAATATTAGCATGTGTCCACCTTGTAAATGATGAGTCCTCCTCTTCCACACACATAACTGGAGCAGGTCAAGAAGGTGAGGGAAGAAACCTAAAGGACATTCCTGTCTGTAGATTAGGGCTAGAAATGGGAAGGACTGTGAAGTCTAAGATTTCTTCTGGTCCCCATTTGACTATGCCTTTGTCTTCAGGTGTAGAGGAGCCTATTTGTGTCCGAAGCCTAGAAAGTCACTTGATTCTTACTCTGGGCTGTACTTGAAAAGGTACCTCATCTCCTCTGGCAGCTGCAGGAGGTAAGGCAAAGGAGGAACACCCTGGTGGGATCTGCAGACTGGACCTGGGGCCTGCAAAGTCAGAAGGGAGTGATGGCAAGCAGGGAGGCTGCCCTCTGTAGTGTTGTGTAGCTGCCGCTTGCAGCCAGCCAGGGTGCTCATTTGAGCCCGTGCTGTGTCTCCCGGTGCCTCCGGAGGTCCACCTTCCTCTGGAAACCCTTCCCACAAAGGTCACAGCCAAAGGGCTTGAAACCTGTGTGTTTGCGGCTGTGGGTGATGAGGTTGGAGCTCTGGCTGAATGCCTTGCCGCACACCTGGCACTTGTGGGGCTTCTCACCTGTGGGGATGGGAGGGGGAGGGGAAAAAGTATGAGCCTATGATAAAGCTAGAGGGGACCCACTGTGACCCACATGCTCTTAGCAGCTGCTGGCTACACCACAGTCTAAGGCCTTCAAGCAACTTGGAGGGTGACGTGTTGCAACATGAACTGACTCCCAGCCTGCAATGCGAGTCCCTTGTAGCACCATGGGTGCACCAGGTGAAAGGGAGACTTTCTAAGTTGGGGTTCCCAGCCAAAGGCCTCAAACCGTTTCCTGCTAAACGGAAACACAGCAAAGGCCACGTGCCCTCCCCAGCTGAATCTACCCCAGGGAGGACTCCCCTGACTTTATAAGCTGTGAACACCCAGAGCAGATGTTCAACAGGAAGGGGAGGGGGAAGCTGTCCTAAAACCGTGTGACTCCGTTCTAATTCAGAGGAAGTTTTCAAATCTGAATTTCCAAGTGGGTGTTAGTTTGTATGGACCAGTGAGGCTGTCTTCTTTTTTGTTCTTGAAGGACAGCAGAGTATATCTGAAAAACATCTTAACATGGACATTTTTCTTTCTTTTTAAATTTTAAGTTCCAGGGTACATGTGCAGGATACATTTTTCAATATCTTATTTTAAAAATTCACATTTGGGCAACAAAGTATTTCTTAAGGTAGCTGATATTTTTCTGTCTTGATTTTTCTTTCATTTTATGAGGTTAGTCACATGATTCTTTATATACCAGCAATTCTTCACCACAAATAAATCAGAGAACACAAAAAGGTTTTGTTTTTTCCCCATCTCATGTGTTGTTGGTTAAATGGCATGAATTTCCAAATAGCCCCATTTTAGTCAGGGCTCAGCCTTGGAAAAAGTATAACATAGATGGAGTTTGTTTTTGAGGAACACTCTGTACCCCTTGATACATTATTTTCTGTTTTCATGCTTTGGATTTCCTTGATAAGAAACAACCCATCAAAACATATTCTATCCCTTTAGGGTAAAACAAATCTGAGAAACGAATTCTAGATATAATGTAAATGTTTGATAAGGGCTTAATGTTTTATTCAGTCAAGATCCTAGTTGCATTTTGATAAGTGTCTGGAATACCTTACTTATAAGGAGTGAATTACGTGGAAATTTCAAGTAAGAAGAAATGATTAAAGTAGACTACTTCTCTGGGTTTTCAATGGAAATATATACATTACCCAAGCATATTTATAAACATCAAGGGTGGGTGTTTAGAATACACTGTGATTTGTTCAGAAATTCTGGGTCTCATGTAAATGTCTTTTGACTATTAGAGTGTTTTTGGCATTGAAGCTCCCACCCACACATAATGTGTTAGGCAAAGAGTCCAGAATTAGAAGCCAGAGCATTACATGGCTCCATTATTTGCTCAGTCTGACTTTTGATAAATCATTCACTCTGAGTTTCAGGATGGTAACAGCAGCTCATTCTACTTTGTTGAGTAGCAATAAGAATCAAATGGAATGACAGGTTTGAAAGTACTTTGTAAATTATAAAGCATTATAATAGGTAAGGAATTACTATTATGGCATGAACTTGCAGATATTTTGAAAAGAGCAATAAGTGAACAGAAGCTTTCTGTGTCTCCCAACCCTCATGACTCTAAACATAGAATACAATAAACAGTGGTCAAGAGTGGACATTTGAGAGGTCAGATCTGAATTTGAGCTCTGACCCTGTCATTTGCTGGCAGTGTGACCCTAGGTAGATTACCTGGCCTCATTTTTTTCATCTCTAAAATGGGGAGGAGTAGTCTCTACCTCCAAGAACTGTTGTGATCATAAAATGAAATAATGCATTTTAGAAATGCTTACCAGAGAGTTTAATCACATTTGCCATTATTTGTTCCTCCTCAATCAGAATAAGCTCTCAGACTCCTGAAAATGCAGCCAAAGAGGCCACATGAATCCCTCCCACAAAAGGCCAGGTGGTTAAAGAAAGTCCTCAATCTCTAGGTAAGCTTTAGAGCAACTCTCTTTGCTCTTTAGAGCAACTCTCTAAGAGGACCCTGGAGCTTCATATTTCACCCAGAGCAGGCAGCAGTGGAAGCAGCTGCCAACCTAGAGGAAAATGTTCTTTCCAAGAAGAGAGAAGCTGTGAGCTGACCTGCTGAGTAGTCTTTCAGACACAACCCCAAATCAAGGTGGCTCTGGGGAGATTTATGTCTATAAATGAACTAAGAACCCACCCCTTTGTTTCCTTTAACACAGAGCAATGATTAACTCCATCAGAAAGGTCTCATCCACCATTCACTGGGGCCAGAAATCAGAGAAGGTGAGTTACATTGGCCTCAGGGTGTTTCCTACAAGCCAAGGGCCTTCAGCTCACCAGTGTGGATGAAGGTGTGTTTCTTCATGTCTGACTTCTGGTGGAACCTCTTGCCACAGTACTGACAGGGGTAGGGCCGGGTGTCTGAGTGGATGAGCAGGTGTGTGGACAGTGTGGATGACCTCTTGAAGCTTTTGCCACAGATCTTACAGTCAAAGCTCCGTTCCTGCAGAGAGAGAGAGATGTGGTACTCCTGCAGTCACCTAGACTGCTGCTCTCCTCGCTCCTGAGCTGACCCTAAAATCCCTTCAACACTTTTTCTTTTCTTTTTTGAGACAGAGTCTCCTCTATCACCCAGGCTGGAGTAGAGTGGCATGATCTCAGCTTACTGCAACCTTCATCTCCCAAGTTTAAGCAATTCTTGTGTCTCAGCCTCCCAAGTAGCTAGGATTACAGGCGCCATCACCACATCCTACTAATTTTTGTATTTTTAGCAGAGACAGAGTTTCACCATGTTGGCCAGGCTGGTCTCGAACTCCTGGTCTCAAGTAGTTCACCCATCTCAGCCTCCCAAAGTACTGGGATTACAGGCATGAGCCACTGCGCCCGACCCTTGAACACTTCTTCTACCAAAACATTCTTTACCCACAACCTTCCACACCCCATGGCAAAAACATATCCACACCCTGCTTTTTTTGACACCATTAACACACACTTCTCCACCCTCTTCAACAGGAGGCTTAGATCTCAGTCACTTCAGATGCCTCCTCCCCCAGCCAGTGTGGGTTCTGGGGGAGATGGTCTGATATTCTTTTCAGCCTTCTCCTGTCATAGCTATTGTTATATTTATTTGCTCATCTACATCTACTCTCCATCTCTCAGCTAAACTATAATCTTCATGTGAGCATGCTGTCAACGACCTGATGTGCTATAGGATTCTTAAGTACTTGGCACCTGGAAGTTAGGCAACAAATATTTATTCATGAAAGAATAGCAGGGGTGGGGTGTGGTGGCTCAGGCCTGTAATCCCAGCACTTTGGGAGGTGAGATGGGCAGATCACTTGAGGCCAGGAGTTCAAGACCAGCATGGCCAACATGGTGAAACTCCATCTCTACTAAAAATATAAAATTAGCCGGGTGTGGTGGCGGATGCCTGTAATTCCAGGTACCCAGGAGGCTGAGGCAGGAGAATCACTTGAACCCAGGAGGTGAAGCTTGCAGTGAGCTGAGATGGTGCCACTGCACTCCAGCTTGAGTGACAGAGTGAGACTCTGTCTCAAAAAAAAAAAAAAAAAAAAAAAAAGCTGTGACGTGTACCTGTAATCCCAGCTACTTGGGAGGCCAAGGCACAAGAATCACTTTAACCTGGCAGGGGGAGGTTGCAGTGAGCAGAGATTGTGCCACTGCACTCCAGCCTGGGCAACAGAGTTACACTCTGTCTCAAAAAGAAAGGAGAGGAGTTGGGGGAAGAGAGAGAATAGCGAGGTAAATAAGCTACTGTATGCTCTAAATGAGCTGAGATCCCACCGTTTCAGTCGGGAGGGGTCAATGCAAATTAAGTAACAACCGTTTGGTGAAAAGAATTGGCAGGCTGGGTACACGGTGGCTCACGCCTGTAATCCCAGCAAATTGGAAGGCCGAGGTAAACAGATCACGAGGTTAGGAGTGTGAGACCAGCTTGACCAACATGGAGAAACCCCAGCTCTACTAAAAACACAAAATTAGCCGGGCGTGGTTGCACGCGCCTGTAATTCCAGCTACTCAGGAGGATGAAGTGGGAGAATTGCTTGAACTCGGAAGGTGGAAGTTGCAGTGAGCCAAGATTGTGTGCACTTTCCAGCCTGGGCGACAGAGCAAGAGTCCGTCTCAAAAAAAAAAAAAAAAAGGCGCAAAGAAATAGAGCTAAGTCTGACATATCAGCAGCACGAATCAGTACATACAAACCTTCTTCAAGCCCAATGAGGATTGTACTCTCGAGGCTCACAGTGATATGACACCAAAATCTAGGGCTGCCTCAAGACCTAAGCCGGCCACATGTGTGTAGGGGAAGGTATCTTTCCCAGGACAAGGAGACATAGCAGAAGGGTTGGAGGAGGAACCTGGGAGCAGTCAAGGAGAAAACTTCCAGGCGAGAGCGGCTGGTGCTGCACCCCCAATGCAAAAAGCCTGAGCAGGGCCGCTCGCAGCGGTGCGCCCGGGGCTTACCTGCGAGTGCACGGCTTTGTGCTGCTCCAGGCTCACCGCGTGCCCAAAGGTCTTGCCGCACATCTCGCAGGCAAAGGGTCTTGTACCGCTGTGGGACCTGCGCACGTGCACCTCAAGCCCATGAGGCGTGGAGAACACCTAAGGCGGGTGGGGCCGGGGAGAAGGCCGCTGAGAGGGGCCGCGGGGCGCTGGTGCTGCGCCGGCTAGGCACGGGTAGGGGGAAGCAGGCGCAGGGCAGGCGAAGTGGGGAGCTCGGATTCCTCACCTTGCTGCACTTGATGCACTTGTAAGAGCCGCCGCCCAGCAGCAGCCGGGTACATAGCAGCTCGGACTCCACCTTGACGCCAGCGCCTTTGTCTGCGTGCAGCCCATGGCCACGCTCAGGGTACAGCAAGCCTGCCGCTGCGGTGGGCCGCTCATACAAGCCGGCCGCCGCAGACCCGAAGTCGCTGTAGAGTCCTAGGCCAGGGCCAGCGGCGGCACCGGCCCCTGTGCTGCAGCTCCCTGGAGCCCCGGGCCCCACGCCGCCCGCCGCGCGCTTCGGGCCATACAGCGTGGCTGGGTGGCCCGGCTCCGGGGCGGATTCACAGAAGAGGCCCAGGCCGGCGCCGCGTTCCAGGGCCCCGCAAGGTCGGTAGCTCTGCACCAGGTGCCGCAGGTCAGAACCCGCCAGGCCACTCCATGAATATGGTTTGAAAGGCAGGGGGAAGGGCTGGGCTTCGTCCATCGACGGGCACATTGACTTCTCCGAGGCTGTGGAGGCACAAGGGAGCGTCCAGTCAGGCTTCAGTGGGCAGAGCGGAGGCCACCGGGCTGCAGCTCTGCAGCTGTGGGTGTGGCCTGTTCGCGGACTGCGGGGCACCCAGCGCTAGGACACTGCGTGCTCCAGGTGCCAGGCCCACCCCAGGGTAAAACACGGCCCAGGCCCTGGGGCCTTGCAGGCCACTATAGGAGGCAGAGCAGCAAATAGATCATTGAAAAGACCTTGGGAGATGAGGTAGTAAATTCTGTGCGAGGGCAGCTGAGGCGCTTGGCTTTCTGAGGATCTTTTCTGGCTGAACCTGCGCACCTGGAGATCCTATGGGGAAGGTCACGTCAATAAATGCCCCATTCGGACCCCAGCCGCACAGGCGAAGGGTCCAGCCACTAGCGCAGGCATTCTCCCAGCCCCTGCATGTTCCCACTCAATTCTTTTTATTCCCGGAATCCACGAGGAAGAAGGGAGAGGGTCCATAAATGCGGCCTCGAACTACCCGAAAGGTTGGTATCTGAATAAACCGGAAGGTATTAAGGTCTCACAAAGTTAAATGTTAAATGCCCAGTATACACAGCAAAGGGGCAGCAGGAACGGGACTTTTGGGCTTAAGCTGTCCGCCAAATACTCCCAATTCCTGTTATAGTTTGATGGAGGCGGGGAACCCGAATTTCTCAGAGAATAACTGTATATCTCATAAGGTTTTGCCACCACCTGTAAAGAGACAACTCTCTGACTTCTCACCCTGCTACACTGGCACTCACATGAATTTTGCTAAAACCAGTGACCCAACGCACGTGAGTGCAGACGGCATTTACACATGTGTGTGTTTTTACATTTACACACACTCCAGTTCAGGCCGGCACTTCAGTGAAAGGCTGTACCCCGAATTCCGTTCCGAGGGGTTTGGGACCTGGTCCTTCCCGGCCACTTGACTCCCTGGCAGGAAGAATTCTCCCACCGCCAGCTCCCAGGCACATTCGCTGGAGCTGTGGGTTTAGCCAAGTCAACTCACTGATTGTGGGACGGGTGGTGGTATCTTTTAAAACTAGCAAACACATTCTGGATATAACCGGCCCTTGTCAAAATCTGGCTGGTTAGCTCATTCCTTCCCCAGGCCGGGACCAAGATGCCCCCACCCAACGTGCAGTCATTTCGTTTGCCTGAAGCTGGATTGCTCGCTGGAAATGAAACCTAGAGGGCAGGCCCATGAGGCTGGGTCAACCTGGCAAAACGAAAAATGAAACAGGGCCCCAATCTGCGCCCGTGAAGACCAAGCCGCGGGCTGAGATTTTCGTCCTGCCCCCTCCCTCCTGCCCCGCACCTAGCTCCTCTGCCTAGCCCTTACTGCCCTGGTCTCCGTTTGTTTGAGGTTCGGGGGTCTAGATTGTGGGATCCTAGCACTTTATGAAAAACCAAGTCTGCTCAGAAAACGAAACATCAGCGTTGCTGCCAGTAGAAAAAACTGGTTCGCTTTCCGTCGTCGGCCAGCTCCACGCAAACGACGAGCAGCCAGAGTCCCGCCTCCTAGGATGAAGGCACCGGCCCCAGCGGGCAAGCTGTCCCAGTCCCAGAGAAGCCGGATGCCTCCTTCTGGACTCCTTCCCCTATGAATCAGTTCGCTCCTCCCGGAAAGACTTTCCAACTCCCCGTTAGAATTTCTACGCCAAAGATCTCGCCTATCTCCCCCACCCCTACACACCACACACACACACACACACACACACACACACACACACACACACCAAACACTACCTGGTCCCTGCAGCTCCTGCCCCAGTGGTTCCCAGTGGGTTCCTACCTGGAGACGCGGAGGGTGATGGGGGCCTCCAGAAGTCCTCAAACTCTGAGCTCCGTTCACAGACGCTGCCCTCGCAGCTGTCTGGGGATGCGGAGGCTCTGTCTGGGGCTTCGGTCAGCTGCGATTCAGGGGACAAACGGTCCCCGGGCTCCACCTTCGTCCCACCTGCATTTGAAGTGCTGTCTGCAGAGAGGAGGCAGGTGAGGGGCTCGGGCTGGGACTGGTTGAGCCTGGGGGTTCTGAAGGCTCCCCCAACCCCCGCTGACCAGAGCACCCGAGCGTCTTCCCCTCTCCACCCAGACCCTGGCCAGGAACGCTCTCGAATCTGAGGACAGGCGCAGAGAGGCTGTGGCACCTAGGAGACAAACCCTGAGGAACCAGGACAGCAGGAAACAAAAACGGCAGCCTAGGGGACGTTGGGGCAGCCCCTCCCAGCTCCCGGGTATTGGTGTGTCAATGTGCAGTCAGAATCCCCGGGAGCAGCCCTGCCGGGCCCCGCGCGCCTCGCACCTGCTTGGCTGGGTGCTGGTACATTTTCTAAACGGAGGGAATAGTCTGGTCCTGGGGAGCGCGGCTGGTGGTAGCTGTGCGCCTTCTTGCTCTTGACGAGGAATGAGCGCGGCATGGTGGTCTGGGGCTTTCCCCACTCCGCCCCAAGAGTCCCTGGAGCCGCTGTCACCCGCGGTCACTCCAAAGGCTTGCTTAACCACAGCCCGGCGGAGACCTGAGAGAGGAAGAAAACTAGGTGGAAACGCGGGTCACTACGCTCAGGTGCTGGGGACTGGGCACCCAGGCAGAGGGAGAGCACCGGCCAGGGAGGAGCGCAGAGAGCCCATGGGAGGAGGGGCTTGGCCCTGCTGCGCCGCGCTTACCAGGTGGCACTCGGACAGGTGGCGCGAACCCGCCGTCGTTGCCGCCGCCGCCACTGACAGAGCTCAGCGGTAAAACCTGTCCCGGGGCCCTGGCTCGGGCCCCTTTCCTCCTCCCTGCTCACGCCCCCCCAGCTCCTCCCCTTTCCTAGCCAAGCTCGCTCGGGCAATCAAACTCTGGAGAGCCGTAGTTCCCATCCGGTGGGTTACCCCAGCTCAGCTACTCATTGCCTGCCTGTCTGTGCTTTATGGCTGGCGAGGGAGGACGGGAAAACGAGAATCGGTTTAGGGGTCGGGGATGCCCAGTGGTTGAGGACCCGGAAGGGTCAAGGAGCCAAGACCTCCAAGAGCCAGCTACAAACTGGAGTGAAAGGCGGCGGCGGCGGGGGGTGGGGGTTGGGGGCGCAGGGACGGAACACAAAACTGAGGGGCGGCGGCGGCGTTGGGACAGCAGCAAAGGGACTGGGGGCAGCAGAGGCCAGCAAAGGGACAGGAAAGTGAGGGGAGTTACAGACAACCAATCCCCACCTCAGGAGAAACTCGCATCCGGATGATCCCAGTTGCCCCTCACTTGTGCCCCACGTAGGAGAAACTTTGGCCCCGGACTCCCGGGTGCTGCGGGCACCAGCTGAGGTTGCGGCAAGCCATCCCAGACCATGGAGATCTAACCTTGGGAATCAGGTCCCCGGAAAAAGCACTTTCCGTTCTTCTCACCAAAAAATCTTGTCCTAGGGAAGTAAAGCTCGATCCGCGAACATTGACTGGGAAATGCTAGGTGTCCCGAATCGGTGATACACGGATAATTTAGCAGACAAGTAAGACACGACGCCAGAGCATGCAGCCTGCATTGGCAGAGAGCGAAGGTCCGCCCGAGACTGGGAGGGAACTAGCTGCCCAGGGCGCCGCTCTCATTAACCCCTAATCAGTTCACCTAATCCCAGGTCGAAATCTGAGCCCGGCAGGAGGATGGGGCTGCGCCAGCCTCGGCTCCAGCCGGCTTCGGGGGGCGGGACCCCACAGTCAAGGTGGTCTGGGGTAAACGAATCTACCTTCCTCCCGGAGTTGAAGGCGATGGGGACACGGTTCACACGTGAGCTGTGAACAGGGTCTGAACAGTACAGCAGTTCTCGGTGACTTCGGTTGGTTCAGAAAAGAGGGTGCTCGGAACTCTGGGCTGGAGCAGGACCCTCAGTTCTCCGGCTTCGTGCTGTTTCTACTGCTGTACTAGGAGCTGCTCGGCTTCCTAGGCAAGATGCAGGCCACAGAGTCTACGTCTGTCTTTTGGAGCTCTCGACTCAAAACGAGTTCTAGCGGCCTTGGTCCCTGTAGGGTGCAGGCCTCCTGCTTCAGATCCCCAGCCCCATTGTGTCCCCTTCTCCGGAGGAATGGGAACAGACGTGGGAGAAAAGACGCCTGGGACGGGGCACCAACGACGTTTCCCGTGAGCTAAGCGCCAGAATGCCCCTAGGGGCTAGGGTGTCATCTACCTCCGTCAGGGTTGGCTTCCAGGGCTAGAGCTTTGCTGCTTCCTGCACTTGTCGGCGGTACAATTAGACGCCACAAAACCCAAACCCAATTCTTTTTTTTTTTTTTTTTTTTTTTAATGAGACAGAGTTTCGCTCTTGTTACCCAGGCTGGAGTGCAATGGCGCGATCTCGGCTCACCGCAACCTCTGCCTCCTGGGTTCAGGCAATTCTCCTGCCTCAGCCTCCTGAGTAGCTGGGATCACAGGCACGCGCCACCATGCCCAGCTAATTTTTTTTTTTGAATTTTTAGTAGAGACGGGGTTTCACTATGTTGACCAGGATGGTCTCGATCTCTTGACCTCATGATCCACCCGCCTCGGCCTCCCAAAGTGCTGGGATTACAGGCTTGAGCCCAAACAGCCGCGAAACTCAGAAGAAAAGAGAAACGGAGTGGCATTGTCCCGAGGGTCCCGCTGCGGCTGGGACACGTGTTGGCTGTGAGCGGGACCGATGGGGGCAGGGGAGCTGTCAGAGCCGGAGCTGGGTCTGGGCTAGAGCCGAGAGAGACCAGGCGGACTTGGAGGCCGCCTCCCTACCCTGACTCTAAGCCCACGTCTCTCTCGCACTCCGGCCGGCTTTGCTGATTCCTGGAGGGAGGGACGGAGGTGGGGGAGGTAGGGGCGCTGGGGCCACGGCCGAGCGCGTGGGAAGGCAACCCCGCACTGCAGCTGGCGGGGGAGGCGGGGCGGGCCCTCCGCGAGCTCAGGCCTCTCCTCCACGTCCCGGGCCGGGAGGGCGCGAGCCGAGGGCGCCGAGGGGGTGGCCTCCAGAGCTCAGCTGCCGCGGCCTCCCGCCAGATGCTCCCTTCCCGGGGGGATTCGGCTCCCCTGCCGAACCACCAGGCTGCCTGCTGCGCGCCTCCGGCTCCAGGTTTCCAGCCGCGCTGCTCGAGTCTCGCCCTGACCCAGCCGCCAGGGCTCCCCGGGCTCCCGTACGGCGGTCCACGGCAGGTGGGAAGCCGCCCGCGCCCTCCGGCCGCCCCCGCAGCGCCAGTGCTCTGCGAGTCCCCGAGGCCGCCCCCACCAGGGCTGGAGGCGCAGAACAGCCTTGGCAGACCTACCTGCGCGCGCTGGGAGAGTTTTCAAACGAAATCTTGCTTTTGGAAGAGACCGCTCTGTCTCTCTGACCTTAAAAAAAAAAAAAAAAAAAATCTCCTTCCGAGCTCAGCCCCCAAAACCACAAGCTTCACTTCCTGAGCGTTATTGAGTCGTTCACACAGCCCTCCCAGACCTGCTCCCAACCCTCGTCGGGCGGCCCGGCGCGCTGCTTTGCGCAAGTGGCCAGGCGGGTACGGGGGGGCCTGGCCTTTCCAGCCCATCCCGCGCGTCCCCTAGTCGTCCTCACAGTTCTCTCCCTGTGGGTCGGCGGGGGATGGGGGAAACTGGAGGTCCGGACACTCAGGCACTAGAAATGACTCGAAAGAAAATAACTATTCTTGGCTCCAGGGAGACTTCCGCAGCGAGAGAAGCCACAGATTCAGGACAGAGATTGACTGCCGAGAGAGGGGTGGGGGCGCACAGCTTCGAGGACCCTCCCTGACCCTCTAGTATCCGTCACCCGCCATGCCCGCCCCCCGCCCCGCCGCCTGCTAGGGCTGCACCACCCCCAGCTCAGGACCGTGAATCACCGGCCCGCGGTGCCGCCGGCCTGGAGCCCGGCGAGTGGCCACGGCGTCCGCAGAGCGAAACCTGCCCCACGGCCCCGAAATAGCTTGTTGTGGAAACACTTCGGGATAAATACGCCCAACGAGGCTGAAAATACCTTGACACCCAATCCGAGAGGTTTGCTCATTTCCCTTCGGATTTAGGTAATGGTTAAATTTGGAAGAGGTGGGCGAGCGCCGAGCCCCCGGCGGAGAGGGCCCTGGCGGCGCGTCCCGCGGGCGCCCGGCGGGACCGGTGGGCGCACCCTCCCCTCGTGAAGCTCGCCGGCTCTCAGATGGGTCCACTCAGCCTCGACTGATTTCCGGTGGTGGAAGCTGCGAAATTAAAGGCGGCGCGGGAGGGAGCGCGCGGGGGCAGCGCCGGCGGCTGTTCTGCTGACCCCGCCCCGCCGGGGCAAGCCAAGGAGAGCGGGACCTCGCACGCGGGCTCTGCCACCGCCTGAGGTCATACCCAGGTACCGAGTGCTGGCGGGAGCAGTAAAGCACCGTAAAAACACAACTTGACGACTATCGCAAAGTAGGCCTTCTTCGCTTGGATTGTATGTTTCATGAGGGTAGACACTGGATCTCCATCTTCATGTCCTCAGCAGGCTCTTAACAAAAAGACTGTGGACTGAGTAAATGAATGAGTGGGGTTAATTAACTAATTAATTCTATTAACAGAACGGGGGAAAAAAACTTAAAACCTAGCTCGTACACACATGAACAAACGCAGCGACCTCCAAAGCTAGACTGTATGCCATGACCCATAGTGTGTGGCGGGCTGTGTATACTCAAAGCCTACACCCTTTGCTCACTGGAGTGGATGGATGTTGTAGTCATGTTACTTTTCAAAATGAATTGAGTTGGATTTTGATCACAACTTCGTGCACAATAAGCCTCCAATGTCAGACACACAGAAGGAGATGGGGGTGATGCTCCCCAGTTAAAATAACTGTCATGTTTTAGGTTAATCTTAAATTGCTATGGGGGGAGGCCCTTAAGCTATTTTTCTAGAAATAGTTTTTTAAAATTATTCTTATTTTACATTGTAAATTTAAAAATTTCAGGGAATATTTGTTTAGTATAGCAGTGCTTCGAGCATGTTTTAATAAATTATACGTTTTATTAAGCAATGGCCTGTACCCCTATTGTATGCCAGGTACTGGGCACATCTTGTCTGCCTTCATTTGCTTAACACACCCCTTCTTTATATATAAATGGAGAGGCAAGTGATCTTTGTCAGAAAGGAAAATTAAGGACATGTTGTTAATATTTTATTTCTTGTGTGCTTTGTCCTGGCCTAAGGTATAAAATTCTCAAAGTAGTGCAAAAACAAATCTTTCCCTTATTGCCTTCTCTCCTACCTGATAGAAAAAACAAATTTTTAGAAGAAAATTATAAATGAGACAAAGTAAAATCTTAACAACCCAGTTCTAGAGAAATGGACCATTTCCTTTGCACATTAGCAAGTTCAAAGTCAAGATTTCTTGGAAAGGTGCTGTGACTATTTCATAGTTTAGTTGAGTGTTGCTGTTTGAAGTCTCAGAAAACTTGAGGGATCCCATGAAGAGGGCATGACTAGACTAAATCTAAGTGAAAGGGATTTATTCTGTGATACTGCTCACTGCTCAAGGTGCTTATCTAAGCAGTGAGCAGTATCACAGAATAAATCCCTTTCATTTCATTCAGATTTAGTCTAGTCATCTTGCTTTTCATTTGCTCTTCACAGACTCTTGAGATTTCTAAGTTTGCAAAAGAAAACTGAGAACTGGAACAGGGACACCCAGAGAGAAGCAGGTAGGAGGGAGAAGGCACCAAATCTCCCTTTATATCTTTTACATATTGAACCATGTGTACGTATTACTAATTCAAATAAATACACGTCTTAAAGTATTTAACAAGAATTTAACACATTTAAAAAGTATTTAACAATACTTTTTAACAACACAACACTCCCAGGTGTATAGTGTTGAAGTGTGATTCCCACACTTGGGGGAGAATAGGAGAAAGGTAAGAAGAGGGAAACCCAGAGAGGTTAAGAACCTTGCCAA